TTCCCTAAAAATTCATCAATATTAGAAGGGAGTTTTTGTTGGGTAAATGTAAAAAATATTACAAAAATGGTTGTAATGGGAATCAAACCTAGGTCTTCATAATCAAGGAGTTGGGTACAAGTGGTTACTATATTAAACTTAAAATTGAATCGTTTGATTAGTGTCTGAATTAGAGTCTTAGCAAAAATAATCTTTGATCAAACTTTACTTACCTCTTAGTCGAGTTAAATTAACCTAAGACGGAACCTTAGGACATTGATGCGAAAAGAAAAAAAAAAGCCAAGTCTCCATACTTTTAATTATCTAACTCTTTTCTCCTTGACCAATATTAGGAGTTAAAAGACAAGAGAGAAAATTAAAAAATAACTTACTTTTACAATTTTGAATTTACTTTTAGTTCACGTAATATCTTAAAATTAATAATTAAGGACTAATCTGATTTCGAAGATCAATTTCTATTGACTAAATATTATTTTAAATAATTTTAAATTTAAAAACAATTAATTTTCTTAAGACATTAAACTAAATATTTAAAATTTCCTCCCTTCCAAATTCTTTAATATTAAAAAAATTTAAAATTAAATAAAAAAATTATTCTTATATATTTTTATCCTCTCCTAAAAATTAAATCAAACAATAAAAATCTCTTTCCATCCGCCAAATACCGATAGTCATAGCATTGCTTCTTCGGCAGATTCTACTGTGACCTACGTAGGAATTAGGTGGTCCATCGGTGACCCGGAAAAATAAAATAAAATTGCTGCTATTGTTAAAAAGTATTATTTTAATAAATTAATTAAATTTATTTTAAATTTATAAGCTAATAAATAAATTGTAACAATGATTCAATAATATTTTAATAGTTTAATTAAATTTATTTATTGATTAATGAAATAATAAATAATTTTTTACATTAAATAAATATTATTTAATAGAAAATTAAAATTTATTTAAATTTTATAAAATAATAAATATATTATTCCCTTAAATAGATTACTTAATATTTATCTTAATCTTATAAAATATTAAATAAATCAATCCAATAATTTTTATTATTTACCATAATATTTATTTTTTTTAGTTTTTTAGACAACTGTGTTATTATTATAAAATACTACATATTTATTAATTTTGCTAATAAATAATATTTGTAAAAAAAATCTATCTGACCGCCTTTAGTTGGTCTCTCTTCTCTATCATTTTTTCATCTACTAAATTTAAAATGAAGACTTCAATTTTAATTGAATGACTTATTTGATTACAATTGGTGTTTATATTTATAAGATTCAAAAAAAATAATTATAATAATAATTACTGCAAGATTGTTCATATTTCTAAAAGAAATTTGTTTATTATTTTAATTTTAAATAAAATATAATTAAACCCATTAAAATAATTTTATTCATTATGAAAATTCATTTATTATTTTATAATTTTGAAATTAAATTATATTAACACATAAAATAGCATTTATTCATTGTAGTACTTTTATTTATATATTTTATGAAACTTAATTGATTTATTAAAATATTAACATTTTCACTGTACATCAACACTATAGCACCTTAAACGGTAGCAATCGCCTGCTTCTTCTATGCCATTTCTTGGTATGCATTCCAATGCAATTCAAAAATTCACACAAAAAAAGATGATTCACATATCCAGGGTGTAAGTGGATATAGCTAAATCATCCAAACTGATCCAATAAATCTAGATTCGATTGGATTGTTTTTGTTGTTTGGATTAGATTTGATTCAAATTAATCAAAACTTAGAGATTATGCGAGTTAAATACTAGGTTTTGTGTTTTGACTCGTGAGTCAACTTGATTCAATCATATAGATAATGATTAAAAATAAATAATAATAATAAGTTAATGTTTAAATGATCACTTGCTCATAACAATATTCTCTATTACTTTTATTCAGTAACAAATTTTGTGTTGTTAGGTTAATAATATTGTAAGAACACAACATAGTTATTTTTAATTTTATTTTGTATTAATGTTAGTTGTTTAAGCTGATAATAATGTCACAAATTAATAAATTAGTTTTAAGTTAATGTTTGGTTGATCATTTGCTCATAATAATACTCTCTATCACATTTTTTTAGTAAAAAATTTGTGTTTTTTGATTAATAACATTCTAATAGTATAACATAGTTATCTTAAATTTTATTTTAAAATCTATTATGTATTAATATTGGTTGTTTGAACGGATAATAATTAACAAATTAATAAATTAATTTTGAAATTTAGTTTATATTATTATTTGGTTTATGGGTTGATAATATTACATTTTGACAAGATATCAAGTGATTTACATCTATTATAAAATATTTAAATTTTTATTAAAAAATTAATTATGTTGACTTGATTTACATAACCTAATCCAACCCACTCATGATTAAGTTGGGATGGATTTGATTTTTTTATAATAATGCACAAATCTAACCTGTTGAATTTTTACCAAATCGAGTAATATATTCATTCAAGCCTAATCTAACTTGACCTGCTTACACTCCTATACATATGGCTAAAAGTGTCAAAGTGGATTTCAGTTCGTAGATTAACCTAGCCTACCTTGTAAACATGTTGAGCAAGACTAGGCAAAAAAATGAAAATTTTCATAATGTGTCAAAAAATCCAACCCGACTCACTGTTGATTCCACCCACTCGAGTTGAACTCGTGGTGGGTCGGGCTGACCTAACCCACTTACATCCCCACCAACCCAACCCACTTAATCATGTATTATTTTAACAAGATATCATTTTTTTATTCATAAAGATAAAGTCGATATTAAATAACATGAAATCGTTATAAATTTTTCTACTTAAGCTTCTAATGAAGCTTAATATTAATGACCAATCACTCTCATGAAAGGAATTTGTTTTTGTTTTGATTATTTAAAGTTGTACACTTTTTTAATTAAGTTTAATATTGTATGTATGATACATAACTTGACAATTTTTACTTTAAATCAGAGATTATTTTATAAAATTTATTTTAAATTAAAATATATATTAAACTAGATTTTTTTAAAAAAAAAATAGATAGGTTGATGGGCTAACCCATTTAACCCACTAACTTGTAATGAACTAGATCAAATTAAAAAACATTAAATATTAAAATTAGTGGGTTAAGGTGAACCAGGTCAAACAGCCTAAATTAACCCATTTTGAACATATGCCAACCAGGACATTAATAACAAACATTAATAGCCTATTTTGATATGCTCCATCACCAGGTTACCAAAAGCAAGATTAGATAAATTCACTCATCAAAACTAAAAAATATATTAATTTAAATTGATAAGTTTAATTAAAAAACTCATGATATAAATTTATCTGTCAACTTCAAAACCACAAAAATAATAAATTACAAACTATTAAAAATCATTCTCTTTCAATCAAAAATAGTAAAAAATACTATTGATAATCTTTTGATAACATAAAATTATAATTCTTAACTACAACAAAAGTACTAATAATCTTTCAATAATAAAATCATACTACAGTACAGTGACACAATAAATTGCAAAACAAATAAAATATTTAACTAAATAAACCGGCATACTAATTCATCCAGAACTGCCATTTGACCCAGCAGGCTAGATGGGACAAATAGAACTGACGCCATGAAATGTCAATCCTTCCCACTGGCTACAGCCCCACTTTGCTACCCCTAAACGAGTGAATTGATGTCATTAAAGAAATTTGGCTAGTTTTATCAATTATAAATTTGTACCAATTTAATTTCTTGTCTGATCAAATGAGATGCTTGACTAGTTAATTGACCTATTCTCTAATTCATTACTAATCCAACCATCTGCTTCGAACCAAGTTTTTAAAGGGTGCACATTTAAAAGCGACATTCAATAATTAGAACACGTCATTAGGTTAAGCTTCTAATATAAAATCAATGATTCAAAATTAGCATTTAGACTAAGTAAAAAAGAAAAGGTCATCAGCTTCAGAAGTAAGGAAAAGTGATCGTGTAAATAAAAAAAGCTCACTTTAACGAAATGCGCAAAATAACCTAACTATTTTGTAGCATCATCCAATTTACAAGGAGAAACGAGAGGGAAGGTGGAGAATCCCTCATTACACAAACGAAAAACCCTAGAGAAAATTGCACATGCTTCCTAGTTACTAAGCCAGGAGCAAGTAGATAACAAAACTGTACAGTGTACTATACAGGTGAGTTACAAGTATAGGCTTGGCTTTGGGTATATGCTCCATCATATGAAAAAAAGGTATTATTTTTTTACTATGAAAGTTGATCCTGCTTTCCATTGAAGTCAGAAGAGGATGATGGAGGAGGTCTAGAAGTAGAAGTAATGGATTGTGGTGGAGCAGTAAGGGCATAAGTGAGCCTCGACGATGATGAATTCTCAATGAGACCAGCAATGCCAGCAGCTGCAGATTGAGCATTTGATGGAAGGAAGAGATCATGCTTCTGGTCTTTATAAGCACTCCAAACCTGGAATGCACGAGTAATAAATGATTGTATAAGGTAAAAAATTAGATATGGACAATAGCACACTTGCAACAGGCATGCAGCTAAACGCAGAAACAACATTTCTAGTGCCAAGATCCAAAAGAAGAAAAAAACCATGTTATATTACTAATCAAAATGTGTCGAGACTTACATCAGAATTATTCAATATTTCTCGCACTTTAGTGCAATGGGCTCCTTCAGTCGCAAAGGCATGCAAGACCTGATTAAGCAGACAAGTAACTTGTCAACAATAAATGATGAATAATCAACAGAAAATTGGTACAAATTAATCATTCTAGAATTTTTTCTTTAGAAACCACAACTACAAGTACTTTCTTTAATGTCAGTCAAATTGTGCAACTAAATGAGTAAAAATAAAATACTTGCAGAATGGAACACAAAAGTCTAGACTCAAGTAAATGCAACAATAATTATTTTGAAGAGCAAGATGCCAGAGAATTAAGAAATGGAAAACTTAAAGTAACAGTTGATTGTATGGAAACTAATAGACATACAATACAAACAAAATGTGAACTGGTTAAAAACCACCAAACAGCAGGCAGCAGCCGAGTTTTAACTTAATAAGTGAACTGGAGCATAAAGAAAAATAAAGAAAAAAGAAAAATATGCAAGAGAAACTTAAACACAACAGGAAGAATAAAACTGACAGAGATTCAAACCTCAATTGCAAGCACCCTTCCGATAGATGCTTCAGATTCATTCCACTTCATCTGAGAACAAAATCCATTCCTTCCACCAGCCCTCCAATCAAGAAGACCAAGAAGAACATCAACTAGACCAACTCTGCGTTGCATGCAAAATTTATGTTAGTATTTTGAGAGAGTTCGTAATTCTATTCCCATAAACATATAGGCAGTCTTCAGACATGCAGCTATTTCAAACTTCAAAGCAAACTATTGTGGGGCCCCAAAGCCCTCAATGACCTTCCTAACAAGTACTTCCTCCAGTTTCAAATATAAGAAAAAAAACTAATTCATGCTAAAGAAAGTTAATTAACATCATTTAATTTCACCAATCTCATTTAAAAAATAACTGATTTTTATATACTACCCTTCTTTGGAGCTTAATATTAGCAATAAAAAGGATAATTGGAAATACAATTTCAATTAAATGAAGAGGTATTTTGGGGATGGTAGTATTAAATAAAATAAGATTAGCTGAGAGTTGTTTATATTTGAGATCAACAAACATGGATTTTTTCTTTTTTTGGCTTATATTCGAAATTAGAGAGTACATTCACTTTTCTACAGTCTCACGAGTCTCACCACAAGGAATTGTTAAAAATTCAAAACCAGACACAGACCGATTAGGCAAAGTATGATACACCACAATAACACAAATATTGAAGGCCATGAGAAAATCTACAAAAATCACTCATTTTAGATACTAAAATTTGTTTCAATTTATGTCACTTCAGTCCAAGGTATTAATTATTTTTTATCTGTCTTTTGGCATTTCCACTTAGTGAACAGTGTGAGAGCAGTAATGTGTCAGATGATAATTTAATAAAATGCAGCTATATTTCTGTAAAATGATGTCATAGTCATACCACATGCTTCTAAATTTAAATATTCAGGACCAATGTTACAAAATGATGGAGAAAAAATGGGGATGTCATACACAGGATACAAGCAAGATGGTTAAAATGGAAACAGACATCAGGAGTTATTTGTGATTGCAAAGTACCAACCAAACTCAAAGGAAAGTTTATCGTACTACTATACATTTGGCCATATTCTATAGTAGTGAATGTTTGGCTTTAAAGAGACGAGAAAAAGGTGAGTAACAAAAATGAGAATGTTAAGAAAGATGTGTCGCAACACAAGAAAGAAATGAAGAAAAGATGACAAAAAATAGGTTAAGATAGTTTGGACACGTACAAAGAAGATAGTGGGAAACACCAGCGGGAAAAGCAGATTGCTTAGTTTTTAGCCTTGTGAAAGAGGAGAGGAAGACCAAAAAAGACATTAAGGAAGTTGTCAAGAGGGATCTCATGGTGAATAATATCTCTGACTATTGTCTATAACCAAGCCTAATGCATCATATAATTTATGTAGTCAACCTCACCTAGTAGGATAAGACTGTTGTTGCTTGCAGTCATATTTCTATAAAATTAAGGGGTATTTAGTAACTTCTTTAATTGCTGACTCAAATTTCAAACACTTCATCACACATCACTACCATGTCTGAAATTCAAATCTACAAAAACGAGGGGAAGTCAAAGGACATAAACCAGGCTTCTATAGAAACAAACAAAAAAAGGCCTTGTAATTGAAATCGATTTGATGAGTTTTCTCTTTCACTCGCATCTAATGGAAGTTATCTGCAGCTAATGCAAAGTTCTATCATGAATTTGGATCAAGGTAGTAAAAATCGATATTCTAGTTAGACTCAGGAAAAAGTCACAGTATTGTAAATTGTGAAATTGTAACACAAAATGTAAGATTCAACCAAATTTATAAAATCCAAATATATCCATCTAATATAGCATAAGTTAGAGGAGAAAAAACATTATAACACATGGAATACTTAATGAAGCTTAAATTCATAACCTGAAATGATCAACAAAACATCTTAAAATACTGCACAGTTGCAAAACAACTCAAAACACCTAGTTTATACCTAAAGTATAACTAAGACATCTCCAATTTAAAAAAAAAAATAAAAAAAAAAAAAAAAAAAAAAAAAAAAAAAAAAAAAACAGAACAGGAAGAGAACCAAGTTGGACTGTGGGAAAGAGAAACTGCAGTAGATACAGAAGGAAAGAGAAACTGCAGCAGGTGCAAAACAGATACGCTGAGGCAGAGGAGAAAAACCAGAGCAAGAGAGTGGGACCGTGACTATATTACCTTCCACTCTCCAAGGCTCCGTTGTGGCACAAAAGAGCTTGACAATGTGCAATTCAAAATGGAAATGAGAGAGCTTTGTGCAACTCTGAACAGAAATATGCAGAAAATAAAAATAAAAATAAAAAAAGCTCCATGGATAGGATCTTCAGACAACAGGGTGGAGGACTGGAATGATGAAGGCTGAGGCAGTTTTGGAGGCTGGGATGACGTTCGGTTAGCTGTTTAGGTCAGGATTGGATGGGTTTAGGTTTTTAGAAGCCCAAAACATTAAAAACAAAAGGCACCCAAATGTGAGAAGATGTGGCCATCAAGCTTGGAAAAAAGGCAAATCCACCAATTTTACAATCCTGCCTGATGATTATACAATCCTACATGGAAAACAATTCTGATCACGGACGAACTCACAGAAATGTAGAATCATGCAATTCTACAACGCAACTCGCGATTCTGTCTACCATGATTTGGACCTCCAAGTCATAAAACATTGAATCAGTTAGAAGTATATCAATTTTCAATAATACAAGGTACTCACTTAAGTCCTTGTGCAACAAGAGCATCCCTGGCTCGGTTTCCGGCAACCACAACACGTTTTAGAGTCTCAAGAGCTAAAATGCTTCCACCTTGCCACCCTATAGCTTTCATTAGCAGTGGAACAACCTGGAAGAAGAAATTTAAATAACAAAATAAAACTTTGGTTTTGTAAAGAACAGTTAAAATTAGGTTGATGCAAGTCATATATACAGGTAATGGATGTACAAGAAAGAAAAGCATACTAACATCAACAAAAAGAAACTCAGAACCATCCCTAAGTATGAGACTATCAGAACCTGTAAACTTTACAAATCTTTCTTTCCCATACTCATCAGCTAAAAAGTCACTCAAATCAAAATCAACTTCAGCTGAACGGCATGTCCTCCCATAGTCAATATTTGACCTTAATCCCCAACAGGAGCATTTCTAAACTCTCCACCCCACCATAGGAAAATAATAATAAATAAATAATAGTTGTCATCAAAATCAAAATTTCTCCAAAATAGCATGATTTTCCCTAC